GGGAACAGGGTGAAAATGGGAGGGTGGGATGGCAGGTTGTGGGGTCCCATGGGGTTCGCTGGGGGGACATATCCACGTTGAGGGTGTCCCCAGCCCCCTTTGCTTCCCCGGAGGGGCTGAAGGTGGGGTCCCCCCCAGCAGCTGGTGCTGCCGCAGCCGCCTGGCAGAGTGGGGTGCATAGTCCGGGGGGTCCCCCCCACCACCCAACCTGCCACGTGGCCCTTCCCAAACAGGTGTGTTCCAGGAGATGACTAAGTTCGAGTGTCACTTCCTGAACGGCACCGAGCAGGTGAGGTTTGTGCACAGGTTCTTCTACAACCGGCAGGAATATGCCCACTTCGACAGCGATTTGGGGCACTTTGTGGGCGACACCACCCCTTTTGGGGAGCTCCAGGCCAGGCACTGGAACAGCCAGCAGGACCTGATGGAGCGGAAACGGGCTGAGGTGCACACATACTGCCGGCACAACTACCAGAGGGCAACCCTGTTCCTCATACACAGGAGAGGTAAGTGCGGGGCAGACTGCGTCCCCTTGGCCCCTTCCTGGGAATCACCCTGCAGGGCCCCAAAACTTCACTGGAAACATCCCCCGAAGCCCTTCAGCACTGCTGTGTGGCCACCTCCATAGCTTCCTACCCCTTCCTGGCGCCCCTCACCTCTCACTGTGCCCATTCCCACCCCCTGCATCCATCCCTGTAGCCTCTTGCCCCAACCCTGTGGCCCCTCACCCCTCTCTGCTCCCATCCTCCCTAGCTCCTCTCTACCCCCAGTGCCCTGCCAGTCCATTCCAGTCTCTCTGCTGCCCTCCCAGTGCCCCCCCAGGGCTCTCCTAGTCCACCACAGTCTCTCCAGTCCCTCTGGCACTGCTGTCTAGTCCATTCCAGTCTCTCCCATCTCTCCTAGTGCCTCCCCGTGTGTCCATCTCGCTGGTGCCGCCAAGTTCCCCACTGAGCCCTGGCCGCCTGATCTGCTCCGTGATGGATTTCTTCCCTGCGCAGGTGCAGGTGAGGTGGTTCCAGGCTGGGCGGGAGCTGACGGGGCACGTGGTGGCCACCGACGTGGTCCCCAACGGGGACTGGACCTACCAGCTGCTGGGGCTGCTGGAAACCACCCCCCAGCACGGGGACACCTCCACC